TCATATTGGACCATTGACAACAAAAAAAGAAATCTGAAAAAATTAATTAGAGAAAGAGATTTGGCCCATATGGAAAAGTCTTCTTGACTAAATGGAGATCTTTGTTGCCCCTGACTGAAACTTGAAGCAAGCCCCTGTCTGCACATTTCTATCATTTTATTAATTGAATTTATAGCTTTAAACAACTGTTTCCATAATTCAAAAAAATGTGTGTTTATTGAAAAGTTAGAAAATACAAAAGAGCTGGATGTGGTGGCAAGTGTTTGTAATCCCAGTGACTCTGGTGGCTGAGGCAGGAGGATTGCAAAGCCCACCTCACCAACTTAGCAAGCAAGGCCCTAAGCAACTTAGTGAGACCCTGTCTCAAAATAAAGAAAAATAAAAAAACAAAACCCCAAAAAGGACTGGAGATGTGGCTCAGTGGTAAAGCACCCCTGAATTAAATCCCCTCTACCACCAAAACCATCACCACCAACAACAAAAACCACGCATACACCAAAAGAGCAAAATGAAAAATCACCCATAAGTTGACCATTCATAGATAATGGTTATGAATGTATAGCTTATATGTGTAAACATTTTTTATTCATAAGATATATTTACAAAAAAGAATTTTTCTACATCTAAAGCTCTGTAACCTTAATAATATAGGCAAACATCTTTCCATGACATTAAACATAGGTCTTCTTATCTTTTTTTCTGTGGTTGCATAGTATTCCTTTGACTGAATGGAGGAAAATAGACTTAATAACCTTCTATTGGTAAACCTGTGTTGGTTCAAATAATCTGAATGCTGCAACAAGTGTTCCTGTACATTCACCTGTATACACTCTTCTAATTACTAAAGATAAAAACATGTGAGTGGCGTTTGTAATTGAAAGGCTATAAAATTCTCCAAGGCACATGACAATATTTGGCCAGGTTGGCACTCAGAAGCAGCTGAACAAATCAATACTTCCAATGACCAATTACTTCTGTCCTTGTCAAATGATAATGATATGCCAAATGTTATAACTCACTGCTCAGTTAATTGTATGTGTTTGTATAGTGAAGGGCTAGAAAGCTATTTTTACATAAAGATATTTGAAATCTACATATTTCTTTTTTTTAAATAAAAAAAATTTTAAAGTGCTCTTCACTAATAAATGAGGAGATAGAGATGAAGCCATGGGTTGGGTATTTGCCAAGTTGATAGGGAGGAGGCCATTCCAGCAGGGTGTGCTCCCTC